GATGTTTCGCACCAGCAGAAAATTTCTCAACTCAATTTATTCTGTGTTGATAAATCTGCTTAAACAAATTCACCCATTTTACTCAAATTGGAACTCAAACATCCGTGAACTGACTTTGCCTTGGCGTGCCTCGTATTATCACATCTTAGGTTTAACTCACTCTCACTCTGCTGAGGCAGCCTGAGAAAGGGAAAGAATAAAGCCCCAGCAATCAGCACATTGTGTTCTTGTTCCCGCCACCAACGCAGTGTATGACCTTGAGTGAGCTGTTTGTCCGCTTGGGGCCTCAGTTTCCACATCTGTAAAACTGAGATTGAGTTGGACTGAATGTTTCCTAATGTTCCTTTCAATTCTGAAATCCTCTAAAGTGACTGTAAACTTTGTGCCATGTTAACCCTCCACTGCTTTTCGGTAATAGCAGGTCACTCTGTGCCTTCCAGGATGTAGTCAAGAGGTACAAAGATATGTCGCTGCAGTGTGAGGCACAATCAGGATAATTCCTTCTCTAGCCCCATATGGAGGGGTGAGTGATTCTCAGGAGAGACAGGAAAAGGAGAACTGTGCCCTTCACCTGAGATCAGTGGGGCTCATTCCTGCTTGTTTGAAACAGACCCATGTTCGTGTCTGGTCCCATGCTTCTCTCGGTGTAAGTTTTCTACAGATGGCTCAATGCCTTGCTGTAAGACAAACGCTTTCCAACCTGATTGCCTGATGGATCAATCCAGAGGCAAACTACATCTTCTGCTGGAGCCTGCAAAATGGCATAAAACACTCTCCCCAGAGGGCCCTCTGGGGAAGTCTTGACAATCATCCCCCATAGATTTAGGGAGCACGGTGTGACTAGCAATGAATGTTAGTGTGACTAGCAATGAATTCTAGGGTGTTAGAATTCAGGAGAAGAATAAGACAGGGATCCTTCCCTCCAGAAATCCAGTCATTCTTATCAAATCATTAATGGAAAAGCAAAGGCACTGAAAGATAAAAGCTGATCTGAGTGATAAGGAGAATAAAGGCTGGAGCATCTCAAGTGTGGAGGCCATTGTGGTTGAGAGCATTTGCATAAGGCCCCCCAGTGAAGGCAGGCTGGAGCAGGCCTGGCTGAGATAATTTGGGGATTGGCAGAAAATAGGAAGCCAGGTATTCCTGTGGGAAGTCTTACTGGCCCCCCCATCTCCTGCAGGCCCAGAAAATTATGACCTCCTTACCTCACATTCAAAATGCTGGTCTTCAAAACCCCAGAGAAATAACTATTCTGTGCCACCAGGTACCTACAAATGTCTCTCCTGAAGGAAAAAGATATTTTCAAAGTTGTTGGAACAAAATGAGCTGTACATGATAGCCCTGCCTCAGTGCCTGGCTCTTAGAGAGCCAGGGAGATCAAAGTGTGCGCTCTCGGTTCCTACAAAACACTGTCATCCAAATCATCAGGTGAGAGTGCCTCCAGGACTGGGACTAAGGTGAGGCAGGTGAGGCATTCTCGTCAGGAGCAAAATTTAAAGGGGGCACCAAAAGCTCAGTAATGAAGGTGATACTCTAATGTAACACGTTAACATCCAGATTAATGTGAAAATCCATGATGAACAACATATTGAATTGTTGATAGGCCAAGATTAGTATTATTGATTTTTTTTCCTTTTGCCTCGGGCTCTAATAGGGCTTGGCTGGGTACTTCCTCTGACTCTCGCTTCCTCTCATTCGGGTGAAACACAACTGTGAGTGCCCATAATGGAATGTGCAAAGGAGGCACATTTGTGCTCATTGCATCACTGCGCCCTGGGGAAGGACTGAACCCAGGGCTCAGGCCAGGGTTTCAGGTCACAGCCATCTATGAACTGGCAGGGAGCCCTGGAGGCACTCTCATCTGACACTGGCCCTCAGAATGAACCCTGGAGGGACAGTTCCCAAAGGCCAAGAAAGAGGCTTTTAATCCAGTCCAGCAGTACTGTCCTCGTTGAAGCCATTACTATCTGCACGTGGAAATGTCAGAGGCCTGTGCAGGATTTTTACATTTCTCCAGGCACCTATTCCATGCAGCATGCTGAAGAGAGGGTCCCTGCCAAAAACAGTGAAATCCTTCACTTCCTGTCCCACCAAACATCCCTGTCTTGATAAAACTTCATAGACAAACGTTCTCTGTCACTCTAGAAGCAAATGCAGTGAGCAATTTCTCTGCTGAGCACTGACAGACCATGATAAATGATGACGGGAGGATCCGTGTTCTGAGAAACTTTGAGTGATTTCTGAAAACCCGCCTCCCACCATCCCCAAGGGGCGGTGGGGCAGGGGAGCAGTCACTCACCAAAGCAGTAAGGCTGCTGCCAGGATTCCAGCTCTCTTGGGCTACTATAGCCAGCGGGAGACTGCCAAAGAAGGAATGTTCCTTAATTTAAGTGAATGGCAGGATATTTTTGGAAGGGAAATTCTTTTTTAATATAAATGATAGAAGAGGGGCCCATTCTTGAACAGAATACCAATACTGCATAACAGTTGTGGCCAGACCAGATGCCACAAGCCTGAGGATATTGGGGAAGGCAGGCAGGGCTGACCTCAGGCTTCCCATCCCCGCTATTCCTCTGCTCCTGGTGCCTCAGCGCCATTGTGGCCCACCCGCAGTCCCAATATCCATCCTTGGTCATCTCCACTGGCCTTTGGTAAGCCACTGAGGACTAAGTTTAGCAATAATCTCTCACAATTATTTTTCCATTTCACTAGAAGATTCTTGATTAATAAGAAATTTAAGGTATCTCTAAAGATAATATACCAGGCATTCGTAGTAGGCAACAGGCAGATATTTCATGGCTGAAAATCCTCTAAAACATACCATGTTTCAATAGGTTGATATTCTGTACCTGGAGATCCTGTGAAATATATCTTCAGACTCTGGGGATGTTCACATTCAGACAGAAAGTGCAAAACTTCAGGCAGCGAAAATGCTAAGGTTAACCAAATGGCTGTCTTCTTTTTCAGTGTATTTGCATCCAGGTGACCAAAGTGTGTGGGCATGAAAGGGGCCACCTACTAAACCTGACAAACCCAGGAGAGGCCTGCATGGCAGCTTTACAAACTCAGAGACCAAAAGTAACCACATAGGATGGTCTGAAATGAAAACTTCCTATGTAAAAGCGAATCATGGCAGGTAGTCTCGTCCTACGCCGGTATCTTCCTTGACAAAGGTCAGTCTTTACCTTCACTGAGCCTGTCTATTGTCTTTTTGCATCTATGGTAACATGCCTTTGGAATGTCAGAGTAATCCCCTTTTTCAGACTCCTCAGTGCACAATCTCTTACCAGAGCAGAGACCACAGAACCCCTAATTGTTATCGTGTTTTCCACATACCATCTCTATGTGCTGTAAATAGTTCAACTACCCTATTACCCACCAGTGTACAAGAAGTATATGTCTATCTACTTTACTTTCTATCCAATCCCAGAGATTTCTCCCCTTTGCTTTCTCCTGCCAACCTAATCTACCACCAACGGATTTCATGTAACTACCTGTCTTCTCCTTCGATTCTAATGAATAAAATAAAGTGCAAAACTGCCACTCTCTGTAGCATTTTATCAGTTTGTTGAGATTTTGCTTCCCAATAATTGTCGTCAATGTGGCTCAAATAAACTCATAAAAATTCTTACAAGTTTGGGCATTTCTTACATCAAGTGAGACTGGAAACCCTCTCAGAGGACAGGGCGTGCCTCTACATGGGAGCCTTTGCTCTTGGCATCCCCTCTGAAGATTTTCCTGGCTTCCCTCCTGTAGCAGGGAGAATAATGCCCTCCTCCACCCCACACGTGCCCTTGTCCCAACACCTAGGGCCTGTAAACCTGTTAGGTTTCAAGGCACGAGGAAACAGTTTCAGGAGACCAGGAAGGGGAGAACACGTGTGATTAACTCAGGTTACCTAAATATTGCATAATCACAGTTTTCAAGGGATCACACGCGAAGATGTCTCGAAACATGAGGAAGGAACAGATGAGTAGTAAGGTTATTATTTTTTATATTGACAGGTCAGTTCTCTAACGGAGATTCTGAAGATTATCAGCTTCAGCTAAAGACTGCAGTGTTGATAAGCTCTCCAGTTTTTCTAGTTTGAGCTCCGGGGACCAGGCTCCTAAAAAGCCCCTCTGGGCTGGCCGCGAGGGAGGCTGTGCCCACGAGTCCTCAGAGCCCTGCGGCGAACGCCCTGGAAAGGCCCCCGGGCTCGGTGCCCCGCGGGTGCGCACCCGCGGCCAAAGGGCCGCACCCCCCTCCGCGCAGCAGACTCTGAGCCTCCAAGGCCAGAGGTCACTGACCCCAGGGGCCTGGCGCCCTGCCCCCGGCCAGCCATTGGCCCTGGACCTGGGGCGGGGCCTCAGAGACTCTGGCCAATGG